ACATAATAATTTTAGTGGGTTGAGCATATCTCTCAAACCATTTGACCTCCTCAAAACCATTAGTGTAAAGGGCTACTGGATGTCCATCAATGTTTGAGACATTACATAAAACTGGGTGACAAAAATCTAAATACAGGTTATTGATAATATTCCAGACACTTTGTAATCTAACACAGTTTCCTTAACTGACATCAAAAACAGTGTTGCAGTGCTCTGGGCACAAATGTTTAATGGTTTTAACCTTAATGTCCAAAATGTTTGTGATTTGATACAATGACAAAAATTAAGGCTACTCTGGGATACCTATGTAGCAATATGAGCAGAAATTGTGGCTACTCCATCACTGAGGTTGTTAAATAGAGATTTGGACAGCCATTTGTCTGAAATGGCATAGGGTCTTCTGCTCAAGCACAGGGTTGGACTAGAAGATGCCCAAGATCCCTTACAATGCTGGTATTCTGTATCAAATATCAAGATCTCATTTGTGAAGTTATAGAGTGAATACAGCTGTGGACACTTAGTTGTCACAAAAATACAGAACAAACTGACAGGCATGGGGACTAAGTAAATCAGAACTATTAGGAAATAGGGCAAGTTTGAGGTATTCAGTAAGAACAAAAAGCAAAGTGTAGTACTAGGAGTATTATAATAAGCATACAGTGAAATACAATAGTTTTGGGCAGTTTCTTAACTATTTGAAAACTGAGATGGCAAAAACTGTTCACTGGGATCCTTTCAGACTGATGTTATATAGCTTATTCAACATTGCAAAATAATATAAGGTAAACCATAATATCAGGCTTCTTTGGGATTCAAGCCTGACATTTACTGCTTTGAGTGTAAGATTTTAAAAAAGCATGTTAGTTTGGTCAGTTTGAAGCTATAAAAATTCAAACAGCATCTCTGAATTTATACGATATGCAGAATTGTTATTTATTTATTTATTTATTTTTATTTGTCAATTGCTTACAAGATAATAAGTATAAGCAAAAACATAGTTACGAATACATGGATACATGTAAGAAAAATTAAAAAAATATAAAAGAAACAGTAGGACAGGGACGGTAGGCACGTTGGTACGCTTAATGCATGCAACTTGTTTATTAACACAACTTGTTTACATTTAAAAAACTGTGAACTGTTAAGAATTGGACGCAATGACTTCCAAGTCAAGCTTTATTCCTGTTAATTCCATGGCTATGATGATACAGTTTTCTTGGCAACAATATGGAAATGGTTTGTGTCAATTCCCACAATGGAAGAATAGATGGAAAAAGTGATGAATTGTAATAAAAGATAATGACCATTTATCCTGTTTTCACTTGGAAACCAGTTCTGGACTTCATACTCAAAAGAGGAAAAAAAGAAATTTTGATCTTAGCTTTGATGACTAGGTTAACTCTGTTGTTTGTTGTAGAAATGGCTTGCATCTATCAGAAATGTAAAGCATTTTGTATTCTACTGCACCAAAAAGAGTTATAAGTTATTATTTTTTCTTTCTTTTTATTTTTTACCTTACAGTTCTTTCCACTCTCCTCTGATCTTTATTTCCATTTGTATTTTATGAGAGAGAGAGAGAGAGAGAGAGAGACGGAGAGAGAGAGAGAAGATAATTGCTTGCTGCTGTCTCATTCAGATGAAGTTTTCTCATACAGCTACACTAGTGTTACTCTCAATCCTATGGGTGTTGCTGTCAAGGTGTACAAATTTTGGCTGTAATATGTGCACATTGGTCAGAAAATGAATCTTTTATTACCATGGTATTTACAAATGGTTGTTAACTGAGATTCTCGCTAAAGGAAGAGCGGGTATACTTGGAAAACTGGGTTAATAAGTAGGAATCTGTTTTTCTTCTAAGTCATTCAGGACAGTGCCAATATAGCCCTTGGAATAGCCCTTGAAGTTAGGCTTCAGCAAGAACTACTTAATGATGCCTCCTTCTAAGTGTGTTTCATTTTTCCCCAAATCTTCCTACCTGCCATACCTTGACAGGTGAGAGAGAAGGGGGGGGAGGGAGGGAGGGAGAGAGAGATTTATCACAACTTCATTTTTCTTTTTTAACCTCCCAAGCCTAACCTACAGCCCTGGGATTTCCTGCAAATCTCCAATCCAGTTACTAACCAGATCTGGCTATGCTAAATACTTAAGATGCTGCCACCTGCTGGGAACTTGAATAAGATCAACAAGCAGCTATGCTATCTTAATTTTACCCTGAAGCCCCCCTAATCTTGATCTGGAATATAATTTTATAAAATGCCCTCTTCTATTCTCCTCCGTATGCTGTGCTTTAAAGGCATATAATACAGTTTTTTTAGATGAATGTGATTTTTAAAGTATATCAGGTGTCTCTATATAACAGGTATTTGCAAAACTATTAATCTGATTAATCTGAACTCCTTGCAAAATGTATATCGGCAGGAATAAATGAGTTTATTGAGCACTGTATGAATGACTGGTTTTTATGTCCATGTTCAAGATATTTATAATCCTGAAAAGGCTTAGTCACCAAGAAAAACTAACTTCAAATTATTATACAGAGAAGTTTAAGAAAAGTTATACTATAAACGTAATAGTATATTATAATAATAATAATTAAATATCAACCAGCTTTTTTGTGTCGATGTGGGAAATAACCTATTTTCATTATATAATAATTGTGCTATATCCTGAAAGCAGTTTTGCTGCAAAAACAGCTTTGAGCTGTTTGTCCTGTGTTATATAGAATAGGGTAGAAACTTAAACAAGTTTTTTAACAATCCTGAAATAAAATGGAAAAGCTTTCCCTAAAGCCATAGGTATTGGAGGGCAAAAAAAATGTCCCTTGCCACCTCAGCTAGTAAACAGGAAATGCTTGCGATATTCATATACAGGTAGTCTTCAACTTATAACAGTTCATTTAGTGACTGTTCAAAGTTATGTCACTGAAAAAAGTGACGTAATCATGTGAAAAAAGTTCACATGATCAAAATTCAAACAGTTGGAAACTGACTCATATTTATGACAGTTGTCCCAGGATCATGTGATCACCTTTTGGGCCTTTGGACAAACGAAGTCAATGGGGAAGCCAGATTCAACCGTGTTACTAGCTTAAAACTACAGTGACTCACTTAACAAATTTGGCAACAAAAGTTGTAAAATGGGACAAAACTCACTTAAGAAATGGCTTGCTTAGCAACATAAATTTTGGGCTCAATTGTGGTTGTAAGTTGAGGACTACCTGTACTCAGACATTCCACATAGAAATAATAATTCATGGATTTTCTATGGCGGGGGTGGGCAATTAATTTTCCCAAGAGGCCACATGAGAAACTGGGACTATTGTGGAGGGCCGAACCGATAGTGCTGTGGAAGTACATAAGCTCGCACACAGGCCTATGTGTAAATTGGGGTGAAAAATAGCACCTTCAAAATAAAAGCAATGCAGTTGTATTGCATATTTTCTATGGCAGGGGTGGTATTCAGCAGGTTCTGAGCAGTTCTGGAGAACCAGTAGTGGAAATTTTGAGTAATTCGGAGAACCAGCAAACACCACCTCTGGCTTGCCCTGCCCTCATCTATTCTCTGCCTCCCAAGTCCCAGCTGATTGGCTGGGTCTTCTTTTGTTGCCCTGCAAGGAGAACGGAGCTGGAAAGCAGGTTAGTGGGATGGGGAGGGAATGGAAATTTTACAGTAACCTTTCTCCAGGAGAGGGGAGGGAATGAGGTTTTTACAGTATCCTCCCCCATCAACCCACACCCTGCCCACCAAGCCATGCCCAAAGAACCGGTAGTAAACAAATTTGAATCCCACCACTGGTACATGGCATACACTTATTTACATTTGAGTTGTAATATCCAATTGACTTTACATGGTTCCTGTCCCTTGGCTGGACATTTACGATGGTTACAGTGTCCCAGGGTCATATGATCCCCTTTTGCAAACTTCTGACAAGCGAAGTCAACGGGGGAAGCCACGTTCACTTAACAACCATCTTATTAATTTAACAATTGTAGCAATTCCCTTAACAACCATGTCAAGAAAAGTCATCAAATGGGACAAAAGCTCGCTTTAAAATGTTTTTTATTTAGCGACATAAACGTTGGGCTCTACTGTGTTTGTAAGCGGAGGACTAACTGTATGTCCTTTATGCTTTTATAAAGAAAAAAAACAAAACCCAGCCTTCAGAATACAGGTAGTCCTCGACTTACGACCATACTTGAGCCCAAAATTTATGTCGCTAAGTGAGACATTTGTTAAGCTGGTTTTGCCCCATTTTACGACTTTTCCTGCCACATTTTCTTCAGTGAATCACTGCACTTGTTAAATTAACAGCGTGGTTTTTAAGTGAATCTGGCTTCCCCCTTGACTTTGTTTGACAGAAGGTCGCAAAAGCGGATCACATGAACTCTGCAGCCATCATGATTGTGAGTCAGTTGCCAAGCAACCCACACTTGAACCACCGGGATGCTGCAACCGTCATAAGTGCGGAAAACGGTCATAAGTCACTTTTTTCAGTGTCCCTTGTAACAGGGAACTACATGCACTCTTGTAAGTTGAGCACTACCTGTAAGAAGTGCGCTGAAGAGGGAAGGCAGCCCAGGGGTTGACAGGGCGGTGATTTTGGCGCGCTCCCGCCGCCTCGCCTAAAACTACCCGCCAGAAACGAAACAGCCCTTGCAGCCACCGGCAGCCCCTCTGCTCTGAGGTGCAACAACCAGCCCTTCGGCCCGCCGTTTTCCTTCGAGGGGGCTGGACAGCCCCTTGTGTCAAGGCGAGCTACTTGGACCGTCCCTCCCTTTGCGGCCGCCTGTCCGCCTGCCTGCCGGCATTGACCCTCCAGGCGGCTTCTTCACCCGGGCAAGCCCTCCGCAGGGCACGGGGGTGTGACCGGGCAAGGCGGAGTCGTGGCGGGGGTGGGGGTGGCGGAGAGAAACTCCATGCCCGCCTCTTTCTTCCAGCGGCGCCGAGAGTCGCTGGTGGCGAAGAGCTCCGCGTCGCACGGCTGGAGGGGTGGGCGTGGGGTCGGGGAGGCTCGCCTCTCCGGCCGGCCCTGTAAGCCCCACAGGCGCGCCCCCACCCGCCACCCCCCCTCCGTCTCTCTCCTTCCCACCTGCCAGAACTTCTCCCATGTGCCGTCATGAGGCGAGCGCTCCGCTCCGGACTGGGCGCTGCTACGGCGCTTGTCCTGACAGCCTGCGCCTCTCTCTGCACAGGTAAAAGGGAGCGCCGGGAGCCTGCTTGGGCCGGCGGGTCGGAGGTTAGGCTTGGCGGTGCTCGCTTTCCCCCACCCCCCCCCACACACTTCCCCTCCCTCGGGGGCCGAGCGGGTCTTGGGAACGGCGAACGGGACAGCGGAGTTTTCTCTCGGCTTGCCATAATCTTCGGCCTGATTGAAAAATCGTTTGCTTTCCCTCTCAAAGCCCCTCAAGCTTATCCAAATAGCGTTTTCTGGTCCACTCGGGCCGACAGATTTCCTGCCCAGTTTGCCGAGGTAAACAAAACCTCGTAAAGTGGGCTAAAGAAGAAAAAAAAACACGTGCTTTCCAAGTTCGAGGAACTCCGCTGCTTATAAATAACCTGGTAAATTAAGCTTCAGGCAACCGTACAGCAATCCCGTTTTGGGACAGATAGATAAATACCAGAGAGGGAGAGTTAAAGCTCTCTTTTTAAAAGTCTCTTTTTAAAAATAGTAACAACAATAATAATAATAATAATATAGAAAAGTGCTGGTAGGAGAGAACAGAAGAGCCGCGCACGGTTTAATCCTGGCGAATTTGTTATAATATAATCTCAGCTGGACGGTGTGGCTGCGAGGGCAAAGGACAGCTAAACGCCTACCGTATCTTTAAAGGGCAAGTCCTTCGTTTCAAAACGCGGCTCCCTTGGCAGAAGCGACATTTATTTACCCGATTCAAGACTCTCTTTTTGGCTCTCTGACATGATTTGCAGGTATGTCAAACAACACCCGTATAGAGACGCTGCGCCTTCTTAGAGATACGGATCATCTTGGTTACATCTCGACTACTCCAGGGCTTAATCTTAAATTAAAAGCAACGTTAACAGTATGGGCTACTTGGCTTAAATGACAGCTGTGGGTCCTCTTGATTTTATTCGAATTTGGACAGAGGAAAGAGAATGGGGCGAGATGTTTTACTGGAAAGGGGTTTACAAAAAGCCACACATGGAATGGCAGTCCCAAATTCGCTTACCTGTGAGAGCAAATCCAAAATAAATCTCTGGACCTGCTTCTGAGCACAAATATGCAAGCCCCCTTTTCATGTTGGGTTATTTAATCCAAGAGTGCAGCCCTAGGCATGTCTACTCAGAAACGAAGTGATTTTGGGGAATTGCTGGGTTTTTTTTTTCCTCAGCTTGGAAAGAAGTAAATTCGGAATGGAATGGAAGTAGCATGTGTATTGATGTGGGGATATGAAATGTTAGATGTAATGTTGAAATGACCAGCAGTTTTGGGGGGAGTTTTTTGGATTGGAGGAGATGGAGGTGATTTTGAAACTAAAGCTGTGTATTTTATACTGTTCTGGGGAGAAATTCTATAGTGTAAAGAGTTGGAATAGACGTGAACTGAAGTTGGAAAGAAAAAAAAAGCAGACTGAGACAATTTGAGTTTGAGATATATGCAAACAACCTGAATTCTTTGGAATATGTATGTCAGTAGCAATCCTGCATTAGGATCAGCCAACATATTTCCCCTAGAAAATGCAAGTAAGTCTTTAAAAAGTCTGTGATAAGGAAGGAAAGAGTTAAACTTCTGTTCCTCACAGTTCTAGGTTTGCTCAGGTTGTCCCTTGGCTACTATTGACTTAACCAAAAAACAGTTCCTAATTGCTTTGCTGCAATTATAATCACATTTGGCCTTTAAGCTATTTTGCCAACCTAAGCAAATTATTTTGGCCACTGTCTTGCATCTTGTTCCGAGGGCTAACTATGCCCTCATAAAATGTTTTTTCTTTACAGATAGATAGCAGAAAGAAAACCCAGTCCTAATTCATGGAATAAATGTATTCAAGTATTATTTTCACAAAGTCTGCAAGAAGAATGGGTTGGTTGCTGGATGTATCAGCTACTTTGTCTAAAGTCATGTCCTCCAGTAAATTTGGGATTATTATTAGCTTTGGTTTTTATAAGATTTCCCGGTTCTTCCGAACCATTGTAAAGTCTGTAGCTCTAGCCATCAATTTTTAATGAGTTTTTGAATTGGATCAGCCCACTGTGCATGATCTATGGATATAAATTTAAATGACCATATTTAATAATGGTAATGGTGATAATAACATTATAAATCAAGGCTGCATATTTCCCCCAAAATATAATTATAATTAAAAGCTTATGGCAAAATAACAGACATTATGAGCTGGAGGAAATGGTTTCCTACAGTCTATACCAGGGGTGTCAAACTTGATTTCATTGCGGGCCAGATCAGGATTATGTTTTACTGTGAGGGGCTGGGGTGGGTGTGGCCAGGGTGGGCGTGGCCAACTTGAAGTCACTTGTGTTGGGGGTGCCTGTGGTGGCCTGAGCACTCTACCAGTGAAAATGGGCTCCCAGCTCAGTTTTCGGCCGTGATGGCCTCCTACAGCCCTCTGCAGTGAAAACGGAGCTCAGGAGGCCACGTGTAGCCCCCCCCCCCCAGTTCCTTTTTCACTGCAGAGGGATGCAGAAAGCCATCACGGCTGAAAATGGAACCTGGGAGGGCTGTACATCGTCTCACGAGTCCTTTTTAGCTGATAGAGGCCCTGTGGGCTGGTCCTTCACTGTTTCCAGGGCGGTCACGCGGGCCAGATCTAAACACTCTGAGGGCCAGATCTGGCCTGTGGGCCTTGAGTTTGACATTCCTGGTCTATACAAACAGCAAGGTAAATATAGTACTGAGATATTTTTTAGGATTGGAGATGGTGAACATCTTTGATCAGATTTCATTTGAAAAGAGACAAACAATGACACAGATCAGAGATCTCTGAAATGTTCCGTGTTTTGCACATCCTGAAACCTGATTAACATCATAAGGTTCTCCTCGGGGGTGGGATTCAGCCAATTCGGCCTAGTTAGAGTGAACCGGATGTTACATTTAAATTTGGTTCGCTGAACTGGTAGTTGAACTGGTGGCCTCGTCTACTCCTACCCTCCCAGGAGTCTCCACGTGGCCTGTGTTGAATGTAGGTAAGTGCAGGAACCACGCGGAAGCTCTGGGAAGGAGAAAAATGGGCCAAACGGGAAGTTCCAGAAGTCTGGAAATAGGCCTGTTTCCAGCTTCTGGAGGCCCTCTGGAGCCCGGAGGAGGCCATTTTCACCCTCCCAGAAGCCCCAGGGAAACCTTCGGACTCTGGGAAAGGCAAAAAATGGAAGTTCCTGGTAGGCCATGCCCACTATAGCCATGCCCACTCAGCAACCAGGCAGAGAACCTGGTTCTGCTTGCAAATTCTTTCCAGTGTATAGGACTATAGCCTTTCATAATTTCCAGATCCCATGATTTCAGGTTTTGTCATGATAATAAGTAAGGGATGTAACTAATGTTTCTGTAATCAAAGTTGTGAAATCCTGTCACATACTATACACAGTGAATTAGTATAAATTCCTTATAATATTAATGTACACATCATCCACAGTGAGGAATCTGAGACAGACAATTCCTGACTTCTTTGGGAGGAGTATGTTTGCAGATATTTAATTTGATACGTGTTTGGGTGAGGGGTAGAAAGCTCAAAATAGACTGAGGTGTGCAAAGTCCCTGCCCTGGTAGTAAGCTATTCTTGGGGGATATTACTTGGTCTCTTTTCTTAATGTTAAGTTTCTAATTTTTTTTAATGACAGTAGTTATATAAAGGATAGAAAATAAGCTTGCTTCCAAATAGGTATGACTCACAAGTCTATGTTCCAGAAATATAAGAGCAGGGGTTCAATAATTGGTAATGAGACAGTTCTCCTTCTAAATGCTTGTGTATAGCTATTGTGGAAGATACAATTCGCATTTTTCCCATCTTGTTTTTGTCAATCTATTATGTTTTTTCCTGTTTTCCATTTTGTTTTTTGTCAGTCTATTACTCATAACTGTTGCTTATGGTTGGTATAACTTCCTTGCTGTTGCTCACAGTTGTTGAGATGCTTTAGTTTAATTGGTTAATATATTAACCAAATATACTAATGCTTCTCAACAACTGTGAGCAACAGCTATGAAGTTATACCAACCACAAGCAACAGCTAATATTAGATGGGTAATATATATATGGTATGTACATATACATGAAGCTTTAGTTATTTGGTAATTATGCATATATATACAGAGAGAGGGGGTGAGTGGGAGAGAGAACTAAGTCAACTAGATTTTATAACAAATACTGGTAATATTTCAACTTCTGATATGTTTAATAAATGAGCTGCTATATGAAAGTGATGTAATTTATACAAAACATGTATCTGTTTGACTGAATCATACCAAATACAAATAAGATTTTTTAAAAAAATAATCCAGAAATTAAGCATGTTTATTACCATGAAGCATGCATGGTTAGAAATGTCTTTTGTTAATAAAAAGTCAGTTAAAGGTTAATTAATAGCTGATAAATATTGTTAATGCAATTTTTAGTATCTTGGTACACAAGAGTATTTCCAGGAACAGATCTTTTGGCAATCATCCAAGCATTTACTCTTTAATTTACTCCCTAGAATCTGTTCTTCAACTTTCCTGCTCTTAGCCATTGCCAAGTCTTTTTGTTATCTTTTTTGCCTGCAAGATTTTTTTTTCATGTACTGGTCATGTAATACTTTGCCTTGCCATATTTCTTTCCTATTCTTTCTTTAGTTTACTTATAAGTCAATTTGGTCATTTGGGGGTTTCACTAAGCCTTCATAATATACTACTTTCAGTGCATCCTTTTCATTGTCTTTCAGATATTCTTCCGACGCTGTTTTTTCTGTTCAAATGCCTGGTGTACTTGTAACATTTGATGCCCACTTGTGCTTTTTGATAATAGTGTTTGTCAACATTGCTGCATGGATGAAGGGCATGATTCCTTGTCATTACTTTCCTAGCCTTCCTATCCAGGGCTTCTGCTTCAGCTTGAGTCCAGTCCACTATTTCAGGTATGTACCTAATGACTGGAATTGCCCAGGTGTTTATTGCCTTGATGATATTTCCTCCACTGAGTTTTGGACTTTTAAGATTTCTTCATTCTCTTGAATTCACCTATAACCCTTT